TAGAGCTCGGTGTATAATAAACGATAATAAAAGTTGAAATACTGACACTAGCAATTCAAATTACCACCAACCAAGAAACTGACAAGCTTCTCGCTAATGAGTATATTAAATCATCGATTCTGATTCAATTTTCTCTGGAAACTTTATATATTTAAGCACCTGTCGTGATCGACGATTAAAGATAAATAGATAAATAGTTCCTTGGTATATTAGGACGAATGACATCCTTAGGGACCTCAAGATTGATCCCATCAAAAAATACATAAAGGATAGAGCCTTGAAATTATTTGCGAAATCTGACAGACTTACTAACACCGCATTATCAAATCTCAGAATGATTACAGGCTCCTCGGGGAGGTATGCAGATCTGAGGTCAATTATTACTTAGTCTGGTGATGTGATAAATAATAATCCAGTCAAGGCGCAAAGAGGGGTTTTGAAGAAACCTCGCAGTTAATATAGAGTAAAAGTGTTCAGGTGCACTGACTCAACTTCCTTCAACATAATAATAGATTTATTGAGTAAACATCTATAATTTTTAATTTGGCCGTAAAAGGATCTGAAGAGGAGCGACAACGCGTACTAAAACAATCAAAAACACTTTGAGTAGGATATTTGTTGTTCTTCGCAATTGAGAAACAATTTCATAAATTATTCTCACGTTGCGGCGAAATAAGCTTTTTAATAATGGGATTAGGCCAATACAAACAAGCTACCTGCCATCAAATACGCTCGCTTATATATTCTAGTATAGATACTATTGAATAAATAATCATCATGTAACGAATAGCTGTATAATAGTCCATAGCAACATTTTTGTCAAGAGTTCTGATTATGAATATCGGCAGAATGTGACTAATAGTCTGAGAATTCAACAAATTTATGATTTTATATGAAATTCAAATGAATTGTGTAAATCTATTGTTTTCAGTAGTCCTCACATAATTAATACCAGATGGCATGGTACTATAGTACCAGGCTTCCAATTAGCTGGAGTAGTAACAACCTTTAGTTTGTCAGTCAATTGCAATGAATCGATGACGCGAAGAATCTCACTTTTATAATAAATATCAAATTACTTTCATCTTCTTTCACTTTATGAAAATTATTCAAACTTACTTAACATTACGTCCTGTGGACATTGGATAGAACATTGACAAACGCACTTTATGATCTGGACTGATTATGAAGAGTGGACGAATAGTTTTACCTATTTCAGGATCCTTCTTTTGATCTTAATCCAACATTTCGAAACTCAGTTAAGTTGAAGATTTTAGTAACAAGACAAAGATCAATACTTAACGGACTAAAAAAAAAATGAGTATCGTACAGATTATGATGCCGCCAGATTAAGAATATGTAGCAATTTTTATGTGTCTAGTGACAAAAACTATATATCTAGAAGCGGTCGGTAACTTATCCTCGATAGCATTTCTAGCGGCATTAAGAAGATTACGCACTTCAAGCAGTCGTTCCATATACCAGACAAGCCGGGAGAGAAAACATATTAGGAAAATGAACGAAATATGATAATATAAAATATAATATAAAGTGGAAGGGTTAATCTATTTTGGAAAATACCTGGGAGCCGAAAAAACAATTAAAAAATTGTAAAAATATGATACAACAGTATGAACACCAACACTTAACAAACATATCAGTTTGTGCTTATAATAAAGGAATTTATAGATTGTGTACATATATAAAAAAAAATGCAAATGATTGTAGATACAGTTATTTAATACTTTACTAAAGTTGTTAAAAACTAAATTTTATCAAAAGAAGAAATGAAAAGATTAAAGAGATATTTACCGTTCTTAAATTTTATAATCGAGAAAAGACCGGAAATAAGTGAAAAATTTATTGTTATTAAAAACTCGACCATTATCGTACCGTTACCTCTTTGCTATGAAAAATCCATCATCTAAACTCAAAAGAATGAGATTAGATCTAATGGAATACATATTCACTGTTGAATATCTATGGGGAAAAAATAACTATGCAGCGGATACACTATCCTCCATAGAATTTGAGGATATAAAAATTATTAATGATGAAAAAAAGAAAAGTATCCATACGAAGCTTTTATATATTTCCTCTTTACTGAAATAGAAGATTGCTTGATGACAGATTTATCTGTTTCATTTTGCCCAAAAATCTTATGAAGCTTTTCGAAAAGCGGACACATCTTATAAAGTTTTTTTTGTATAATACTATCTTTAAGATCAATACAAATAGAAATTAAGAATCGGTGCCGACTTCTAGCCTTAAAATAAGTATTCTTCAAGTAACTTATTTAATTATTTATTTGTTGCCAAAATACATTTACGCCAGTGACTTCGGCTAGATGCTAGATAATAAACTTGAAGTTTATTGTAAAATATAATCAACCATTTTTTAAAATGGTTATCGCCTTTAAAAAGACGCGAGAATAATTAACACTATTAAAAATACACTATTAAAAATACTGAAAACAATTTTAGGGTCATAACCAAATATTTCGAAGATAGCAAAAAAAAATTACTATACATACCAACTGAAGAGTAGTAAAGGCCTTGTTGTCGTCATTAAAGGTATTGAGTCAGATGTAGAATCCATTGAGATAACAAATGCCCTAAGCGAAAAAGGCTTTAACGCTAGAGCTGTTATAAACATTGTTAACAAAGATAAAATCCCACAACCTATGTTCAAAGTTGAACTTCACCCGGAAGCTTCTAAGCTTAAAAAAATGAGAGCCATCCTATTTACAACCTACAGTATTTACTTCACCGCAGAATTAGCGTTGAGGAGCCCCGCAAAAGAAATGGTTCGGTGCAATGCACAAACTTCCAAGAGTATGGCCATACTGTCATATTGCACTCTTCGTACAGTGTGCGTAGCTTGTAGTGAGCTTCACCATAGTTCCGAATGCGATAAAAAAGTATTAAAGGATACCAACTCCAAAAAATGTAGCAACTGCACCGGAAATCACACTCCAAACTACAGAGGCTATCCTATTTATAAAGAACTGAAGCACAGGTTAGCTCTGCAGAAAGAAGCGTTGCGTAATCCTACGAGAAACAACCTCATCAAATTAGTTGAAGCACCTCAATCCTTAACTTCTAAGCCTGTTACACCAGGTGTTTCATATGCTAAAGTCGTTAAATCTGACAAGCAACAAGCCCCTCCAGTTCAAAGTAATAGTTTGAAAATGATGATCTCCACTCTCACTCAGAGCTTAACTCATTTCATGTCAATCATGCAAACTACTCTTAACGAGATAGTTAAAATGCAAATGTTTTTGTCTAATAAATGAGTACTTCAAAAATTTGTACATGGAATGCAAACGGCTTAAGCCAACGGCTTACCCCTTTTGGCTATAAATTTTATCACAAGACTTTTTAATGCTATTATTAAATTTGGCTTTTACCCAACAGAGTGGAAAACATCCATGACTATTATGATTCATAAATCAGGTAAAGATCCCACGCTTGCCTCTTCAATAAACTTACCGCCATGCCCTTCTAAACTCTTTGAAAGAGCACTACTTTTAAAGTTAAAACCGTTCCTTAACGTTCAAAACTTAATACCCTCCCACCAGTTTAGTTTTAGGGAAAAACATGGAACTATTGAGCAAGTGAATCGTATAACGAATGAAATAAGACACGCATTTGAGCTCAGAGAATATTGTTCCGCGGTATTCCTCGATGTTAAAGCAAAGCATTTGATAAAGTATGGCATAATGGGCTCATATATAAGATATGCTGTTCATTACCTGCAAATGTCCACCCAGTTTTAGAATCGTATCTGCATAATAGAAGCTTTAAAGTGAAATGTAAATCATATACTTCTAATAATTTCCCAATAGAAGCTGGCGTTCCACAAGAGAGTGTTCTTGGCCTTATCTCGTATGTACTTTACACAACTGATATCCCGATAAGTAGTTCAGTTGTCACCACAATGTTTGACGATGATACGTCAAAATGGCGAATTAAAATTGATGAACTAAAATGTAGACACGTCACTTTTATCTTAAATCGGAGTACATCTCCAACAGTTTCACTAAATAACATTCCCATACCACAAGCAGATAACATAACGAACTTAGGTATTCACCTAGACAGACGACTAACTTGGCGTAAAGATATTGAAGCTAAAAAAAATTCAGATGAAGCTCCAAGCCTCTAAGTTCCATTGGCTCATTAATAACAGATCTTTCCTGTACCTAGAGTATAAAGTACTCTTATATAATAGCATCACAAAACCAATATGGACTTATGCTATCCAGCTATTTGGTAATGCTAGTGCTTCAAATATTGAAATTGTACAAAAAGCTCAGTCAAAAATACTAAGAATAATCACTGGTACCCCATGGTATATTAGAATCTCCAACAATTTCACTAAATAACATTCCCATACCACAAGCAGATAACATAACGTACTTAGGTGAATACTATATGCTATCCAGCAATTTGGAAATGCTAGTGCTTCAAATATTGAAATTGTACAAAAATCTCAATCAAAAATACTAAGAATAATCACTGGTGCCCTATGGTATATTAGGAATAAAAGTATACATCGAGATCTACAAATTCCTTTAGTTAAAGCTGAATTTGACAATATAAGAAAAAATACAATAAAAGGCTGACAGACCATGTTAATCGCTTAGCAAGAAATCTCGCACTTCTATCCATTACTTCCCGACTAAAAAGAGTTGACCGTCCAGCCAGTAATTAATAATCAACAGCTTGAAGTAATAACCGCATCTTAAGAAACCACCTAACTCCAATGAAACTTAACCCATTAGTCTAAGTGAGGTCCGTGATATAAGGTTTCCTTATTTTATTTTATTTTGTACAATGTATAGTTAAAATAAACATTTATAATATTATGTAATTAGTTATAAGATTCTACAACTTATTGTTAGTCTCATTCTAAGAGAAGATGCAATAAATAAATGTATGTTTAAATAAAAAAAATTAAAAAAAAATTAATAAAAAAAATATCTGATAACCGCCGGAATTTAGATTTATGGCTTTTACGTCGCATACTACTGATATAAAAGTTAGTTATTTGGTTTGAGGTCAATTTTAATTTCCATTCAATTAAAAAAAATTTTTAATATATTATTTTAATGTTTCTATATGTATTTTGCCAAAATGTTTAAGAATTGTTTATAGGTTTTATTTTTAAATACCTTTTTACTGTTTGTGAAGGTAATGTTTAAATTACAAGATTCAGGAACAAGCAGAACTCGAGAGAAGTGATGTCAGCCTTCAACCTATAATATATAATAAATATTATTTATTATATGTTTCTATATATATTTTTCCAAAATATTTAAAAATTGTTTGTAGGTTTTATTTTTAAATACCTTTTTACTGTTTGTGGAATTAATGTACGAATTACAAGATTCAGGAACAAGCAAAACTTGAGAGAAGTGATGTCAGCCTTCAACCTATAATATATAATAAATATTATTTATTAATATATATATATATATTATATATAAGTAAATATATCTATATATATAAATATTTTAAGTGAAATATTTTTATTAATACCTAATTTTACATTATTATTGTTTGATTTTATTGTTATAAATACCGCTTAACCAAACTCTACATTCCCCAACTGTTAGCAAACGCACGAATTTCCTTCTTCCGTAGCTTCGGCTTCATCATATGCATCGATTTTGAAACCATGTTGTTCCAGAGCTTGAAGTTCCATTTTGGAACGATTGGCTTCTACTAATACGCGAGATATATCGTTGAACATTTGTTCAACACCATCCCCTGTTTTACAAGATGTTTTATATGTGGCACTAATCAGGCTATGACACTGTTCACTGAAAGCTTCAACATCACTTTCAGTTACTTGTGGTTGACGATCCTCCAAATCGCATTTGTTACCACAAATGAAAATTTTTGCATTCTCTGCATATGTGACTATATCGAGTAAATGTTGTGACAGTGAATGAAATGATGCTGCATTATCTAAAGCGAAAACTAAAATAGCTCCTTCAGCAAATTTGTAATATGATGAAGTTACTGAAGCAACACGTTCCATGCCACCGGTATCCCATAATTGTAACTGAACAATATGTGGAAGTAAATTATTAAATAATTTTTTAATCACAGCATTTTATTTGTATTTACTTTTATTTGTTTATCATCGACCTCATATGTTCTATCGATGTGATCTAATCCAAGTGTAGATTTTCTATCTGTTTCAGAAACAAATGTATTGTTTGTGAAACGTCGAAATAAGGAACTCTTTCCGACACCATAGTCGCCACAGAGTATAACTTTTTGCGTTGGTATGCGCACTTTCGCCATGTAATAGCAATTGTTATTCACCCAATAAATATTAAAATTTAGTTTATTTCGTGGTTTTTGTATTTAATCAATACACAAAATTTTATACGGCTTTAAGTTTTATTTTGTTATACATGCGCTTGCCACATCCCTTATGTAGGCAGTTCTTCAATAAATAAACGAGTGCAAAGTAATTATTTTGACAAATGCAACTTCTTTACAAAATAATTATTATTATTTTGTTATTAATTAGATAATTAAATATTATCAACATTAATTTATTTTCAAACAATACTCAAAGGTATTTTGTTTTTCGACAACAAATTTACAGCTGTTGATAAACGTCAAATCACTCATCGCGTTGCCATCTAATAAGAAATCAAATTATTAATTGTGGTGAATTTTTAACAGTGATGTAATGTTAAAAATATAGTAAGAAATAATATATTAGAATGGTGAAAAACCCACCACCATATATATATGGTAGAACAAAAACACTATTTTCTTATTTTCAGCAAGTAGTTGTTTACTGGCCAAACACTTCGTCCAGTTAAGAGAAAATTGTTACCAACGCAATAAGTGAACTATTGTGAACATTCATTGGAAACTCCAACGAATATTACAATCATATATCAAAAATCATACGAAAACAAAAATTCAAACAAAATTCAAAAATTTTAAAAATTTGAAAATGGAATGCGACGCACTCGACATTGAATCACATTCAGCTTAAATTTACCGCTTTTTTAAAAAAGAAAAATTAAAACTTTTATAAAATTTCCATAACTAATAAAATCTATGAATATTAATATTATCATCAATTTCTTACATATGTATTTTATATTATATTTAAAATTTTCATTAATATAAATCTCTATAATATAAATTAAAAATATAAGTTTTTTAAAATGAAAATTTTTTTATTTAATAAATTGTAATTAAATACATAAAATAAAATAAAACAAAGCTTACATACCTATAATTTTCTGAATAAAATACTAAAAAACACAAAATCGTTCAAACAGAGCAAATTCTATTATCCCTCAAGCAATTTGTGCGATGCACGTTTGTTTGCATTTTGTTCTTTCCCTTTAACTTTTGCTCACAGTTTCCGAATAATTTCACTGCGAATATAAACCGCAAATCCGATATTCGAAGAGTCTGAATTTACAAGAAATCCGATTAATCAGATTCTCAGGATACTTCGTAAAAACGAATACGAACAGCCCTAGTACACACTAAATTTAGTTTTTTAAATATAAACAAAATGGCGGATATTCTTTACGTTTACAAAATTACACATTATTCAATTCTAAGCTATATATTTATATACATATTAATAGAATTTAATATTAAAAGTTGTAATCTTACCGAAATAACTTTTGCCAATATATTTAATCCTTTTATTCCAAGGTGGAACATAGGGCAGCCAATATAGCCAAAATAGCATCACATAACATGCGTTTTATATATATCGACAAGCAAAATATGTCCCGTTACATTAAATTGTAGCTTATTCAGTCTTAAAACTTAAATATGTTTTTTTTTCAGCAACACGTTTGTGTCCACCACTGACAATATTCAAATGTAATTTTTACTAAAGCGGTAAATTTAAATATAAATAAAATGGCGGATATTTTTTATATCACAAACTTACATTTTATTTATTTTATACAAATAAATATATAGCTTTATTAATATTTTTATTTCATTTAAATTTAGTTTTAAATTGGATCTTATACGAAAAATAAAGTTTTTTATTCAGCGACATGTTTCGCGTCCATTAATGGCGGGTATTTTTCACATCACAAAATCACATTTTATTTATTTTATACAAATATATTTATATAAGTATATTTAAATTTTTAATATTAATATTTCTATTTCATTTAAACATTTAAATTGAGTTTTAAATTTGATGTTATACGAAAATTAATTGTTTTTTTTTTCAGTCAAATATTTGGCGTCCACCACCGACAAGCTACAAATGTAGTTTTTACTAAAGCACTAAATTGAAATGCAAACAAAATGGCGGATATTTTTTATATCACAAACTTACATTTTATACAAATAAACATATAGCTTTATATATGTATATTTCAATCTATTAATATTAATATTTTTATGTCATTAAAATTTAGTTTTAATTTAAATCTTATACGAAAAAATTAAGTTTTTTATTCAGCGACATGCTTCGCGTCCAGTAATGGCGGGTATTTTTCACATCACAAAATCACATTTTATTTATTTTATACAAATATATTTATATAAGTATATTTAAATTTTTAATATTAATATTTTTATTTCATTTAAACATTTAAATTGAGTTTTAAATTTGATGTTATACGAAAATTAATTGTTTTTTTTTTCAGTCAAATATTTGGCGTCCACCACCGACAAGCTACAAGTGTACAATGAATGTGACGCATTCGGTATCGAAACGCACTCAGCTTAAATTTGCCGAACGATCTTCGACTCAACGAATGCCTTCGTTATTCTAGGTTCCTCCATTTTTGGCGAAAAGGAATAAAATAATTCGAAGAGAGTATAACTTCAACGATTTCATATGTATGTATATATAAATATATATGGCACATATTTATATTTATGCAATTTAAAGATATATCCACATATAACCACATTTTTATTTATAATGAATATATTAATTTACTGGGTTTAAGTTGTGGCATATAAGCCCATTATTTACACTTGCAGCTTAAAAATGCTTTCAGTTACGCTATTCTGAAATTTGAAATATTTTTGATTCGTATAAACATTTGCGTACATTGTAAATAAATACAAAATAATATATTGCATATATGTATGTAAATGCTTATTGTGAAATTTTCAACTTTTTTTTTTGTAAACTATTTTGTGTCCTTATAGGAGTAAAAACAAATAATAAATAATGGTATTTTACAGAAGCTATTGAAAAAATATTGGTTTTTTTAGTGAAAGTGTATCAATATATTTATAATAGGTCTGTTCCACAAGCTACTTGTAGTAAAACTCAAGTACAAACTGAAAGCGGAACACAAATAAAGTGCAAGATTACGCTCTTTACACAGATTTTCATGCTTTGTGTAAAATCTGGTGAGAACACCAGTGCCGCGCCAAAGAACAATACAAAAATTCAAACCAAACAGCTGATTCACACATCACACAAATTTTACTTGAAGTTAAATGTACGAGTGAAGTCTATGTAGCTTTTTTGAATTTCGACAGGGATGTTACGCTCTGGTGGAACGTACTTGTATATACACTTGTGTATACGCACTTGTAGCTCGTGGAACAGACCTGATGCATTTCTTTTACGTTCATTAATAGTCTGTATATGTGTTGGCTGGTGACCATTATTAGTTTTCAAAACTTTCTTTTAATTGAAATCAATGTGATCATATAAGAAGTGGTATTGGAGTAATAGCCAATAAGAAGCCAACAATTTAAAGACAAGTTTTTATTTCGAGTGGAAATTTATGAATTAGACCTTTTTCTTATTAGAACGTCCAGTAATTTCATCTTAATTCTGTAAAATCAGAACTTGTGATTTTTTTAATTTTAGAAGATTTTGTTTTTTAACGTTTTTACTCGTATCGATCAACAACAAGACTAAATTAATGTATCTTAATTAATATTTAATTAAATTAAATGTTTCTTAATTTCCTATTTTTGAATATGTTAACGTTATAAAATAGTACAAAATAAAAGTATTTGTTTTCTTAAAATAACATAACAGTTTTTTTTGTCATACGTAATGGAATTACTGCAAAAGAACAGATATGATGCGTATAAACTGAATATTGTGAAATAAATATGATTTAATATAGTATATAAAAAATCACCCTAAAAAATTTAAATAAATTTAATAATACAATAATATAACGTTATTATTCATAATCATGTTTAATTTATTTAAAATAAACCAACAAATGGGAATACAAAGAAGCATGATAGCATATGAGATTGCGCCATTGTCAAAAACAGCCGTTAGACGATGTAACATATGGGTTTGAATTGTTAATATCCATTGTTGCCAACTTTTATAAAATTTTATATGCTAATAAAAATGTACTCCATATAAAAAGCAATTTTAAATTAAGCTTTCGATAACATATATCAATTGCAACACACGATTTAAAATTTTAAAAATAATAAAATAATTATTTAAATTTAAGCACAGACATATAATGTATAATGTAACGTGCTTGAAGTGCTTGAATGTCTGTGCTTGAAGTGAACTGTTATTACAGAATTATAGTACTATTCAAACAAATGTGATGTACTATTACTCTTTGATTCCATTATAACGTTTTGGTTTTTTTGTGATTATGTTACAAAATTTTTAATTCTCTTTCAGTCATAAGAAATTGATTGGTAACAATGATATTATATATATGACATATGATATACTACATAAAAATAATAAAGAAAATAATATTTATATTATTAAATATGGAATAGTTCTAATACATTATAATACAGTGCATACTCGAAAACGTGAACTAATTAAAACCAAGAGACCTCACGTTAGCAAATTGTTCAAGTTTTCGAGTGTCAAACGAAAGTAAAGGAAATACATATTTACACATTTAAATTCACATTTTATTGTTTCTTTTTTTTTGTGTACATAAAAGTTTATACTTAAGATATATGGCATGAAAGGAAGTTTGAGAAACTTTTTATTTATTCAGTCATCTTTTTTGGGTGTCCTTTTTTTCTAATAATTGAAACACAGCTTTTTCCCTTAAAACGTCTAAGTACATTTATATAATTTTGATCGACGTCTGCATGACTGGGCTACTTTTTATGTACATCCACAAATCAAATGCATGATTTGCTATTAGGGGATTACCCAAGTTCAGAATTACTCGAGATAAATGCAAATTACATTAAAAAATTGTAACGTTTATTATTCATGTTATAGAGCTTTATTAACTTATTCACGTTTTAGAATAGTAAATGATGGAATAAGGTTGTTCACGTTTTGGGGTGGTCACGTTTTAAAGTATTCACGTTTTCGTGCGTGTACTGTACTAATTAATTTTTGCTCATTGCGTTTAATACAACATTAATATACATTAATATAAACATTAATATACAAAAAAAAAAAAAAATTGCAATGAAATGCCTTATATATAAGTAAACAAACAAATATATATGGTACAATATGTGTTTGTGGATTTTTTATATAATAAATAAACACACCATTGCGTGGTGAGTAAAAAAGTGTTCATATAATAATATTTTGCGTAAAATATAATTTGAAAACAAAAAACAGTTGAAAACAACTTCTGTAAAATTGCTAAGATGTTACTGTCAAAATTTGAGCTTGGATAAAAAGAGGTGTAGCAATAACTCCGAAAGGGTTGTTGTATTTAAGTTATTTGATAAACAGAGAAGTACATCTTTCTATATACAGTCGAATTCTGATAATTCAAAATCGCAAGGAAATAGCATTTTTATAAATAAGAAGTTTTCGAATTATCGAATTTTCGATTTAATGAGGTTAAAAACAAAAAAAAAAAAATAAAAATTAACGGGGCTTTAGCATTTTAGTTCATTTTCACAGTTTATTAGAACCAAATAATTCAATTTACATATGTATTTACATCCTACATGCAATTAATTTAATAAGAAAATAATAATATAAAAAGATAAGATCAAGATATTACGATTTGAACGTAATGTCGTAGTTGTTGAATAGACGATTTGGTTTATTTATTTTTTATAAATTGTTCCTAACCAGCGTTATCATCCTCATCGCTTTAATTTTTAATAAACGCAACTTTCAAAAATTGCTGTTTGTTAATATATCGGATACAGCAACGTCATTATCATACAACCATTTTCAAAGTTTTCACATATACGGTCCTATAGATAAACTATGTTGAACTGTTCGATTTAACATAATCGAACTTCCAAGGTTCCAAGGCTGCAGCTTGGAAGTGGTATTTAGTGGCACACATCTGAGATTAGGGCACCTAATATGCGCTGTACAATTGTCCATAAATAACAGTATCTTTCGATTTTTACTTTACATGCTAGCTATCATTCAGCACCTGAAGCCATTTGTTAAATAGATCCATTGTCATCTCCGCATTCTTATTGTGTCGGTTAAGCATTGGAAAGCTGGGAATATTTTTGGAGCACTTGAATTTGCAGACAGGATTTTTGTTTTGCATTACGAATTATAAGCGGTTTAATGTTCTTTGAATTTCAAATAAAATACGAATTAACGAGGAAACCAAAATTTCATGAATTAACGAGGTTTTTTCAAGGGACCAGCAGTTTGTCACGAATTATCAAGGTTTTCGATTTATCGGGGTACAAATTATAGCGATATTACTGTGTTTTAATTAATGTCATTATCATTTACAGAGAGGTTTCGAAAAGTAGTGAACTACAATAATAAAATTTCTTTTATTTTAATTAATGCAGTGGCGTAACTACAGGGAAGCAACTGGAAGCAACGCTTTCGGGCCCCCGAATTTAGAGGGCCCCACTATAAATTTTTGTATTCATTGTATTTATTTTTAATAAATTCTCAAAAGTGGGACGAAACGTTTTTTGTTGGATTAACTTCATATTGCATTTTATAAAAGATACGTAAATTTTAAATTTAAAGTACATAATATGTATGTACTTCAAATAAAATATTAAACCTATTTATAAAATAAAAAAATTTTTCTAAGAAAAATATGTGTCTTAATCGAGAGACTTATATGGAAGCTATATCTAGATTTAAACCTATTTGAAAATAATTTTGTACGTTGTCTTTTGCAAATATCAGTACTGTATACACCAAATTTCATTTGAATACCTTTATTAAAAATGGAGAAACCTCATATCCGATTGTTAAGTTTATATCACAGATACAAGAAATAGACGTCCAATTTCAATCAAACCAAATGGCTCCCGAAAAGTATGTGTGTAAAGTTTCGTTCGAAGAGTTCAAAAGCTGAGAGAGTAGTTTGAACTGAAAAAGTATATATATATTGTACTGATATATACTTAATGATATTTCCCACGTTTCCTTTAATGCGTTACGAAAATCTTGACAAACCTTATATATCCTTTTCACATTTTTTCGTGTAAAGAGTATAAAAAGAGGGGCGTCTTAGTATGTTGGTAGGGGCCCCTTAGTTAGAATTTGCTTACAGGCCTAAAAAATGTAGTTACGCCACTGAATTAATGTCATTATCATTTACAGAGAGGTTTTAAAGAGTAGTGAACTACAATAATTAAATCTGTTTTATATTATTTTAAGTAATTGAAATTTTGGGTGACTCTAAGGTAACTCATAAGTGGTCTTGGAATTATTTCTTATATTAAGTTATTCGTGAATAATTTCTTGAAACTGCAAGTACATAGGGTCATTTATATGAAACATATATAATTTATACTAATTTAACTCTAAACGAAATAATTTTTACAGTGTATTAAAATGAAAATCAACTAAATCAGTACTAAATATATAATTTGAATTATTATTATTTACTCGTTTGTTAAATTCTATAATTATTTGTATGATTAAATATAATATAACAATATTGTAAACATTGCTAAAATGTTTTTCTAATATTTTCAAATTTTTAAATTCTATTTATTTTTCAATTTAACCAGCATTTGTTACTGGGCCTAGGCCCTTATCGCGGCACTTCATTCGTAGTGCGGCATGGTCGGAAATAGTGCGTTGATTTAAATTCAGTACACAAATTCATTGGAAAGATTCTCAGTAGAAATAGAGCAAAGCTAAACATACTCGTAGAAAAGAATTCTTATAAAAGTGACGACTTAGACAATTTCTACGAAGACATTGTTGACGGTCAGTATAAAAGTCGAAGGCATTGTGGTGAATATTGCAGACATCTATCGGTGGGCTTTCTTGTTGCAACATTCTTCTCAGTAAAAGAAGTGCGACTACTAAGTGTTGAAGTGCGTGACTTGAGAATATATTTTCTTTAAAAATTATAAAGATAAATGAAACTTATTAAAACTATTATAAACAATTAATTAATTAGTATTATAAGTGATAATTTAATTTTTTAAATATATTTTTCATTTATTCCAAGTAGTTAATATGTCGCGATACCATGTTTTAGTCGCAATTGTGTTAACAATTTGCTTTACCGCTCATGTTGGTGGTAAGTGTGAAGTATCTTTTTTACCAGTTATTTTACTTAGTTAATTTTCTAAATAAATTAGTTAATTGTGTTATATGATTATATATTTTTTTTAAAATTTTTTTAAATAAATTTTATCATGCAAATATTGTCTCGAATCGTTTAATATATGTATTTTGAGTTTAACTTGTTTATTGCTTGACCTCATTTACGAAGCTTAGAAGAAATTGCCGTCGACGATTCTTCTGGTTTATGGATTTTTATGATTTCTATTCTTTTACTTCATTTTTATGTGCGATGGAGTGGAGTTTTTTAAGTGTTAATTATTAATACGTTATATATAAGGAAAGTAAGCGATTCGATGGTATTTTATTATCAAAGAAAGTAGTTTAACGTTTTAATAATTTATTTGTTTGATTTGTTTAGATAAAAAATAAATCAATATAGATTCCAAACGAATACGCAACTCAAGTTTATCAGTAATATTAAATTTACGAGCCTGAGTAAAAGCAATAAATATTGGAATATATTATATGTGTTTCAAGTGATTGGAGTTGATATGTTACTATCTTTGTATTAAAAATTGCAAATATTAAAAAAAAAATATTAATTAAATATTAAAAAAAAAGTGTGGAAATTAAATGTTATTTGACAATATAGCAATGTATTAGTAAAGTATTTTTATAATAATATTTTAATTTATTGCTATCTATATTAATTCAAATAAAACAAATGCGATCTGCAATGATGAGATTAGCCTACAAAACAAATAAACAACAATACAAATAATTATGATTTTAATAATACTTTTCATAATAATTTTAACAATAATTTTAATAATACTTTTAATAATAATTTTAATAATAATTTAAATAATACTTTCAATAATAATTTTAATAATACTTTTAATAATATTTTTAACAATAATTTTAATAATAATTGCAATAATACTTTTAATAATAATATAAATAATACTTTTAATAATAATAGCAATAATGCTTTTAAAAATAATTTTAATAATACTTTTTATAATGCTTTCAATAATAATTTTAATAATACTTTTAATAATACTTTTAATAATAATTTTAATAATACTTTTAATAATAATTTAAATAATACTTTTAATAATAATTTCAATAATAATTGCAATAATTATTTTATCAATAATTTTAGTAATACTTTTAGTAATACTTTTAATAATAATTTAAATAATACTTTCAATAATACTTTTAATAATACTTTTAATAATAATTTTAGTAATAATTTTAATAATACTTTCAATAAAAATTTTAATAATACTTTTAATAATGCTTTTAATAATAATTTTAATAATACTTTCAATAATAATTTTAATAATACTTTTAATAATACTTTTAATAATAATTGCAATAATTATTTTAACAATAATTTTAATAACACTTTTAATAATACTTTTAATAATAATTTTAATAATAATTTAAATAATAATTTTAATAATAATTTTAATAATAATTTAAATAATACTTTCAATAATAATTTTAATAATACTTTTAATAATACTTTTAATAATAATTTTAATAATAATTTTAAAATAATACTTTAAATAATACTTTTAATAAAAATTTAAATAATACTTTTAATAATAATTTTAATAATACTTTTAATAATAATTTAAATAATACTTTTAATAATAATTTCAATAATAATTGCAATAATTATTTTATCAATAATTTTAGTAATACTTTTAGTAATACTTTTAATAATAATTTAAATAATACTTTCAATAATACTTTTAATAATACTTTTAATAATAATTTTAGTAATAATTTTAATAATACTTTCAATAAAAATTTTAATAATACTTTTAATAATGCTTTTAATAATAATTTTAATAATACTTTCAATAATAATTTTAATAATACTTTTAATAATACTTTTAATAATAATTGCAATAATTATTTTAACAATAATTTTAATAACACTTTTAATAATACTTTTAATAATAATTTTAATAATAATTTAAATAATAATTTTAATAATAATTTTAATAATAATTTAAATAATACTTTCAATAATAATTTTAATAATACTTTTAATAATACTTTTAATAATAATTTTAATAATAATTTTAAAATAATACTTTAAATAATACTTTTAATAAAAATTTAAATAATACTTTTAATAATAATTTTAATAATACTTTTAGTAATACTTATTATAATAATTTGATTAATACTTTTAATAATGCTTTTAATAATAGTTAATAATTATTAAATTAATTAATTTAATAATGCTTTTTATAATTGTAATAATACTTTTAATTAAAAGTATTTTTAATTTTTGTTAAAATTATTAATAATAATTGTAATAATAATTTTAATAATAAAAAAGTGACATAAAACTTCTAAGAGGAACTTGAGCTTTGAAAGTTAGTACGCCTTGGGTTCTTGTGGAAAAACACGCTTAGTAATCGCTTCATCAAGCGATTATCACAGGCATGAGTCCTAAGAATGGCACTTGCAGTCAAAACAAATTATATACGGAATATAAACAAATTAAAAAGAAATTTAAATATTTCCTAAGACCACTGATGATGAATAAATTAACTAAAATTTTTGTTGTTGTCTTTTCTTTGCTATTCGAATACTTCTGAAATTTGGGATAGTTTAACAATGTTTTCTCTGAGTTCCTTATCACAGATATTTCGCAGGCAATTGCAAGACCATGATGTTTTTGGAACATTTTTGGATCATTTAAATGATTTGGAATTTGGGAAATATAAATGACAGTTTAACTGCAGATATCTGTATTCAAATTGACAAGAAGTAATTAAATAATATAATATATATATTGTAATAGAATAAGAGTCGGCGTATTTATACGTCGTTTGATAAGTTCATTTATGATAACTAAATATATTAATTTCTAACGAAACTGAAGTGTCAGACATAACATATATGCGAAAAAAATCGGCATAGTATATGATTTGTAAGGTGTAGTGCATAGCTAATGAACAAATAAATATTTTCTAAACAATTTGAAAGAGTTGATATCAATGAATCAGTAGATAATTTTATGAATTTATTGTCTTGTAAATGCTTTATGTAGCTATACGACAGTAAATTGATCTGATTAAGTTCGATAAGATTAGGTTATTAGAAAATCAGCGCAATTCCAAACTTAAATGAAATCGAAAAGGAAGCTATAGATCAAGTAATCAAAAGCAATAAAAACCTACAGATAAAGAGCTGCTCACCGTATTCGAGGAAATCTTATCTAATTACTTGCGTTTGTTCGTTAGTTGGTTGCTATCTTAGTGCTTAACTTATTTTTGTTATACTTAATACTAGCATAAACAAATTTTAAACACATTTTAAATTTATAACGAAATAATTTTTTTTTAAATTTAATTAATAGCTCGACAAGGCTATGGCCCTGGCGAACAAGATTGGGGTTTTGTAGATGTGCGCAAAGGTGCACATATGTTCTATTGGCTTTACTATACAACAGCAAATGTGACCCATCACACTGAACGTCCTTTGGCTATTTGGTTGCAAGGTGGACCAGGTGCCAGCTCAACCGGTTATGGTAATTTTGAAGAATTGGGTATATTAGATCTTTATGGCAATTATCGTAATCACACCTGGGTTAAGGATATGAATGTACTTTTTATTGATAATCCCGTTGGTAGCGGATTTAGTTATGTAGACAATGTACTAACACAGCTGACATCTACTAACAATGAAATTGCTAAAGATTTGGTAGAATTTATGAAAGGATTTTATGGATTACATCCTGAATTTGAGAGTGTACCGTTGCATATCTTCTGTGAAAGTTATGGTGGTAAAATGGCACCAGAATTTGCATTAGAACTTTATTACGCCATACAACGTAAGGAGTTGCGCAGTAATTTAAAATCAGTTGCTTTAGGCGATCCATGGACCTCCCCAATTGATTCAGTATTATCTTGGGCACCACTGCTTTTGAATATGGTAAATATGAAAGATTAATATAACATACTCGTAAACATTCAGATAATTTGCATTGAAATGTTTTAATTCTTTTTAATTAAATCTAGGGTATTGTTGATCATGATGGTTATACTAAAATAATGGAAGCAGCTAATAAAACCGAAGACTTGGTGAATGCTGAAAAGTGGGTTCAAGCAACAACGCAATGGAGTAATACACAGCGTGTACTCTTGCAAGAATCAAAAGGTGTGGACTTTTATAATATCGAAAAACCTACACGTGGGGATGCCTACACAAGGTTATTACTGAGAAATGCCGATAGTATGGGTAAGCAAAGTGTAATATGTATGGTATATATAAATTTTTATTAGTCGTATATGAAACATTTCAATATAAAATGTTTTTGAATATTTTAGAGCTCATGTATCGCACATTGGTACATTTCGATATTGATGAAGACCGCGATCAGTTGTTAGAAGATTTAATGCGTGGACCCGTTGTTAAGGCACTAAATATCACATCGAAAGTTAAATGGGGTGCACAAAGTGGTTCTACATTTACAAGACAAATGGGTGATTTCATGAAACCTGTTATTCATATTGGTAATATATATGCAAAAAAAAATATAATATGAACTTTTTATTCACTAGAGAAATGTTTGCGTGTATTTTTAGTTGATGAACTTTTGGATAAAACTCCCTTGCAAGTAGGAGTATTCTCAGGACAATTAGATCTTATTTGTGCCACTCCTGGTACAGTTAATTGGATCAATAAAATGAAATGGAGTTATAAATCAAGTTACGAAGCAGCACCTCGTGTTGGCATTAGTGTGGATCGTATTTTGGAAGGTTACGAGAAGAACGCTGGAAATTTTACCATGTTCTGGATTAATCGTGCAGGTCATATGGTACCAGCCGATAATCCCGCTGGAATGAGTCACATTCTAAAGAATTTTACAAATTTCGGTTAAATTAAATTGCTGTTTATATGTATACTATTAATTAATTATTAAAAACGTATATATCATTTAATTTGTCAATAATTCGATAGACTGATGAATGAGAGAGAAAGAGAGAGAGAGAGAGAGGGAGAAAGAGAAAGAGAGAGAGACAGAGAGAGAGAGAGTTTTGCATATTGTAGTATGGTAACAGCTTTATTAGTTTATAAAAATACCTTTTCTTTTCATAGAAGAGAGATATCTAAAGTTGGAAGCTTTTATTTATTCGAAATTTAATTATCTTCTACGCATCTTGTAAAGTAAAATGGATGTTAAAAACGAACTTGAATAACTTTATCTTATCAACTTTATAAACTAAAGAATCAACCTAATCTTGTAGGTCAGATATTGTTTAAATACTATGCGCCAAGTGAAGTAATATAGAGTGATTATTCTCGTATAAATATATATCTGAAGTAATATTTTATACTATCAGTTAGGCCGTCCTTTAATTACGACGGATCAATGGCGGCGGTATGAGCACAAACTGTTTCAGATAAACTATTCTAGCAAAAGCAGACATATTTAAAATCGGAATAATCGGTTTTTATACATATAAGAGAAATTTAGAGACGTTAGAAGAAAACAAAAAATTCCTGAATTTTATGTGATATATAAATGAAGGATATGCTTAAGACAGTACTCGGTTGGATGATGATTTTTATATATTACCCAGCGGTGATGCTGAAAGCTTTGTCATTAGCCAAAGGACTCATTAGGGTTTTGGGTATTAAAATCAGTTGTACTTATACTTTTCAATAGAGTAGTAGCTTCTTCATTTGTTAAATCAATTTGAAAATCATTTGTGATTGTTACGGCGATGTATCACACACTCAATGATACAATGATATATATATATTATTATTATTATTATTAATAAATAGATTGATATTAATTTTTTGGAAGGATGGTTTATGGTTTTTTTGTATGTGGTAACTAACAAATAATCCTATATTTATATATATATATATATATATATATATATGAGAAATAAATCAGTATATGATATGAGAAATAAACATCAGTCTCCTTTTTGTTTAGAGTATAAAGTCATTAAACCAATCTGGATGTATGAGTTACAGCTATGTGACAATGCCTGTTCGTCAAACGTAAAAATCCAGCAAAGAGCTCAAGCATAAATGCTAAGTTTGAAAACTGATATTCCCTGATATATCAGAAAACATACATTTTGATTTGAAAGTTTAGATATTTCAAATCTTGGAAACCATGTAAATTCGCTGGTTAGACCTCTTGCTAATATAATAAATTCCTGGAGACTGAAACGGACCTGCCTACTTATTTAGAGGCCTCTTAATATAATTTTCAATTCATTTTATAATTCATTGTAGTATATATATATAAAATAATATATAGGTATAAGATTTTAAAACTAATTGTTACGCTTTAAATAAAAGAGATTCAAGAAAGACATTTTATGAAATTAAAAAAAAAAATTTAAAAACACTAAATAGGTTTATTCGATTGGATAGTGAAGGTATATCTGTACGATATTATAAAGAATAAATAATAAAGTCAATTATCTTCGATTTCATATCATAAGTTGAATATAAAAAAGTCATCAGTAATTTCTTATTATATTTACTCATAAATAAATCGTATAAAATATCGAATGAAAGAGTGAGTAGTACCGCAATCACATCCACAACATAAAGTCTTGACAGACGCGAGTTGGGTGCTGCAGGTACACTCATTGGTTAAACTAGTCATTATAGCCGTATAGTCACTAACAAGTAACTGTCATAATTTGTACAGTTTATGAATACTTCAAAGGCTTATAAATCTTATTTTGTAGATACTCACACCTCAAGAGCTCTGCCGGAAAATAAATTTAAATGTGATCAAAACTCCAATTTTCTTCAATTATTACTGATTTTTAAAACAGTTCCTTATATGTTAAAACATTCAAATAAGAACTAACTGAGTAATAATGTTTTAAGTTTCATTTTTGTTTTTATTTCAATTTTAGTTAAATATATACGCCATAAAATTTTAGATATAAAATTTTGGAAATTCTTTTATTTTTAAATTCCCAAACTGCTTTGAACACTTAACGGCAAAGTTTTGTAAAACGTCTATTTTGTAAAGTGTCCAGCGATAAAGAGATATGTCATCTAAAAGTCAATCTCAATGCGTTTGCTATTGTTGTCATTGCCACACAGCTAATAATATATGTAGTAAAGTATCTAGAAGATCATCGGAGAATGGCCGGCGTTTGGATCCACCAAAATCGATACCAAAACCGACATTTTTTAGCCGTTTCAATCCAAAGCATTTGTTTTTCCCATCAAGCACCCCTGCTTCTGGTGATATGAGTATCACTCAATCTAGCTGTTGTAATATGAGCGCAGGTGGATTTCAACCAGGCTACATCCCTAAAATCTGCACTAGTTGTGTAACGTTAGATGATGGTAATGGGCCTAAGGAATATTTGTGTTTTAAGCACACTCTCAAAGATGAGTTAAAAAAATTTTTATTGGACAAAATCAAAAGGGGAATTGTGACCGAGGCAGCTGTGGTTAGAGATGATGCAGTTTTGTCGGTCAATGATGCAGTCGACATTGTTTACGAAACCGTTAAGAGGCAAAATGTAAGGTGTCAAAAGATTTGCGGTAACAATTTATTGAATGAAATTAAAAGACAATGTAGAGTGTTTGAAGAGATTAGCAATCTAAATGTGCATTTGACGCTCACTCCCAAATAACTCTACAGGATGTATACAGGACGATGCCGCAAAATTAAACATTTACATTACAATTTTACAGCTTGTAAGATAGTATATTTGCTTTTTATAAAATAAAGTCTCCTCTTAATCAATGGAGGAAAACCAATTTTTTTTCTGTAGTTATAAATTTGTTAATTTTATTTATTTATTGCTTTTCTGTACATAAAAGTGAAGCAGAGAATTCTGTTTCAGTTTATTGAAATGTCTATAAGAGCATAGCAATAGGGAATAATTACGTACACGGTGTCAAATTGAAACAAATTACAAATTGAAATAATACGAAGTAAGACACTATCCCATAATGTAAAATATGCCAGACTTTTGGTCATACCACAAATTATTATATGAAACAAACTATACATCCAAACATCAATGCACGGAGCGGGAGAGCGGTTATTATAAGAAAAAGTATACATCATTATGAGCTAGAATACATTCGTTCAGATAAATTTCAAATGACTAATGTAAACATAAAAATGCAGCAGCACTATATAATACTTGGAGTACTTGGAGATTTTGCGATTCTTACCTTACTGAGTGTTTTATATCCATGTAAAGATCCAAAATTAGTACTCTGAGTTAAAGTCCATCAATGCTGGCAAAGGGAGGGAGCATATTAGCACCGATACTATATTTGTTATACACATGCGATACTTCTATGTCTCCTAATTCGGTCATCGAAACCGAGTTCAATATTCAAACACCGCAATTTAGGTTTGACACTTGATGCAAAACTGCTATGGAAAGAGCATATAAAAATCAAAAAAGAAGAGTTGAATATTGAATTACGCTACCTTCTATGGCTTACGGGTAGAAATGCATTCCTTTCAATTCACTGCAAATTTCTTATATACAACCAAATGTTCAAAGCTGTTTGACCATATGGAGCGCAACTATGTGTATCCAGCGGTTCCAAAACAAAGTGCTTCGTAACATTGTTAATGCTTCATAGTACATAAGCAGCAACCTCAATGTGCCAGCCGTGTAAATGCGAATCACCAAACATGCTGCGGTTGAAGAAGCTTGCAACGTATCAAACCATATGATGTGGTCACTCAAAATCATTTATGTGTCTTTGTGTATATTGAGTATCTAAAAAATAAAATAAAATAAATAAATAAAATGTAATTAATTAGTTGTGTAAACAACTCATTGGCCAATATGACAAGTTGTTGTATTAGGAAATATAGTTGTTATTATAATTCATTCAAAAAAAAAAAAATAAAAAAATGTTTTCTAATCGATTTATATAAAATAATTTTCAGCACAATTTCATATAATTTAATTTACCTGTCGAATATCGCTAACATCAGCTATTACGTTTCTATCGGACGAAGTTGTAGATGAGTCCGCTAAAATAGCTTCCAAATCATGTAGCTTCAAATATAGCGACTATAGCTTAAAAATCGCTGTGTTTGGTAGATTCTTACAAAACAAAAATATTAAAGTTGAAAAAGTTTTACTTAATTAATGTTACTATATCTTTCATGATCTTTTTGATGAAAAACTTAATATTTTATTTAAAAGATCTTTATAAACCGCCCATATTTTGCTTTTCTTATTCATTTTTCTTCTCTTATTCTTTCCTAACAAAACAGTGTAGGAAGAAAGATGAAGAAAATAGAGAAAAGGCGGCAAATGCGGTTTGAAAAAATTCAATTATAAACATTTTTTTTGAAAACTTATAGCCAAATGCAAAAATAAATTATAGTCAAATAATTTACTCACCTTCATCCGAAATGATTGAGGTTAGGTTTTATTTTCTCACTTAAAGCACGAATTTCTTTTAGACGCCGCCGAAAAGGAATGAGAATGCAAAATGACAGAATAAATCCAATTGATTTTCTAACATAGAATATGCAGTGTTGAAAAACATGAAAATGTTAAATTATTTCGACGGCAGACCTGCCATATTTTACATATTTCCCATGATTGATAAAAACAGTGTAACGAATGAATGGTGAGATCATGTATATAGCAAAATAAAGTGATCAGATCTGAAGAAGAAGTTAGATTTAGTTAGGTTTTGTCCGCTTTCTAAAACGGTATTAATAATTTGTTGCGCCAACTTTTGTGTGAACAAATGAATAGCATCACACGGTGTAGAGGTAAGAGTAGACATTAGAAATAGTTCGAGTTAAACATAATAAGTAATTGTTCAGCAATACAGTTTTGCAGCTTTATATAATGATCTTTCTTCTTGAAAAATGTTAGACAGATACCTTTTGTGATTGTGTACTCATTGAATACTGTTACTTGAATACTAAAGATTAACCATATTAATTTTTGATATTTATATTAGGTCTGTTCCACTAGCTACTTGTAGTAAAACTCAAGTAAAGCACAAGTAAAGTACAAACTGAGAGCAAACAAATATAGTGCCAAATTACGCTCCTTACACAGATTTTCATGGAACAGCTTTGAATAAAATCTGGCGAGAACATCAGTGCCACGCAAATAAAAAATACAAAAATTTAAATTCAAACCAAAACAGCTGATCAACACAAATTTTACTTGAAGTAAAATGTACGAGTAAAGTCTGTGTAGCTTTTCAAATTTCGACAGGGATGTTACGCTCTCTCAGATGATCTCATTTACTTGAAAATTTGCTGGTGGAATGCACTTCTGTATACACAGCGTTATTCAAACTTACTACAAGTAGCTCGTGGAACAGACCTATTGTGAGATCTTGTGCAGAATATAATCATAAAAAATGGCTTATTTATAGGACATTTTCTATGTTAAGATTGCGGTCACTGTAATCTATGTTGTCAGAATATCACTGTTATAATGATCGTTTTTGTATAATGTTGATAGGATGCTTTTAAAATGTATATAATCTTCAACTAGTTTTAGTCATTAATTTAGTTCTTCAGCGTTAATGAGAGTTTTGTAATAATTTTAATTAAAATTCTTTTTTATATTATAAGCTCAGATTCAATCATGTCAACGTTGCTTGTAAATAACGAATATATGTTAATAATAATCTATATCGATTTATGCAACAAAATAACCAGTCATTTAAGAAAAATGTTGACATTGTGGTATAAATACGAATCTATAATGGCGGCAAATAAACAGGAAAGAATTCCATTTTCTCTACTTGGGGCATAAGAATAAAGCAGTAAATTTTAATGTATTATGGAAATGGGTGTGACATTAACGCCCACAAAAGCATATACAAATCAAAATTACAATTCCTGTTGCTGACATTTCACGTTTGTTATTCTTTTGACCAATATGTACGACTATGAATATACCATATATATACATATTGTCCTATCGGTCAGACAAAGCCTACAAAATATTCGCATAAAACAAGCCAGAAACACAGAGGCAAATGTAAGGCGAAAACAGCCAAAGGATATTGCACTAGTAATTTATTGCACTTACATCAAGGACACATATTTACGTTGCAAAACAAACAATAAACTATGAAACAAACAACAATAACAATTCACATTAAAGGACTTTATTGAAGCACAAAAATGACAACCAGAGCACCACAGCAAAAAAACTGAAATAGCCTTAATGAGTTTTAATGCACAAAAAAAAATGATTTTAAGGAAAAGAGCTAAAAGGTGTGCTTAATTGAATTTAAATGGAGTTAATGCAAAGGAATATAGTCCCTTAAAATATGTCTAGCTTTTCATTAACAATATATTCAATTATTTAAGGCGGTTTAACAATTTTAATACAAGAGTACGCATGACACACATAAATATTTAATTCATTTAATAGAAATTAGTATATTTTTACGTTAGGACGAATGACATCCTCAGGGACATCAAGATTGATCCCATCAAAAAATACATAAAGGATGGAGCTCTGAAATTATTTGCGAAATCTGACAGACTTACCAACACCGCGTTTTCAAATCTCCTCGCGTTATGGTTACAGGCTCCTCGGGGAGGTATGCAGATCTCAGGTCAATTATTGCTTAGTCTGATGATGTGATAAACAATAATCTAGTCAAGGCGCAAAGAGGGGTTTTAAAGAAACCTCGCAGTTAATAAAGTGTAAAAGTGCTCAGGTGCACTGACTTAACTAGCCTCAACATAATAATAATAATTACAGTGCAACAATACCCAAAAAATACAACTATATATTATGAGGGCAACTCTGGCTCGTGGAAGATGAAATGCAAGAAATTCAAACATTGATATTTTTAAACTGATATATATATGACATGTATTTAAAAACAAATCACACTGTTTTGCAAAAAACATTGAATAATTATTAAGAATTTATAAATAAGTAATAATAAATTTATTTATAGTGCCAAATAATTATCTGACAATTATTGCTTCCGTAGAGAGCCATGAGATCTTTAATAGCAAATAATAATGCACGGTTTTTATTGAAGTAAAGTCTGGAAGTATTAAGCTTTGTATTGAAGAGTAGAACATATTAATGATATATAAACCAAATTTTGAAGACAATTGTTTTTCAGAAAGAAAATATATTTTTGTGATTTACTCATCAACCGGAAGGAGCAAGAATCGAAAGAAATAATTTGTGTTGAGTATGCCAAAAGCAATAGAGCCATCAACGCAAATTATTTTTATATTTTTGGATTACAATTTTTGAAGACAATTGTTTTTTTTTAGAAAGAAAATTAAATACTTTTTCCGTTTTATATCGCAACAAAAAGATATTGTGGTCATTTTACGTGGGCATTTGTAGATGAGAAAGCTTTTAGTAAAATGGTTATAGTGTTTTCTCACATACTCTGGAAAGCAGTAGCGCATTGATATTTCTCATATTATAGACATGCATAAATCATAAGTCTATCTCCATAATTTGAAGACCAATCTGCAGTCAAATCAATCGATCACAATCTGCGAATGCCAATAAAAATTTTAAAACACGTGATATATAATCATGATAACGATGTTCTAAGAACTTCAAATTCCGGTTTAATACTACTCTCTTCTTTTAGCAAGAGTAAAAAGATATACAGATCGTGTTCATCCGTAGCTCAATATTGGATATTTAATTAAATTCACTATTTCGCAAAGCTTTTTCTCTTTGCCTTCTTCGGGTCAACTGTTGTTTGCTTAATATTTTTATTTTCGTAGACATTATAATTTATGGATCAGTAGTTTATTTAATAAATAATTAAATTTTTAAAACTTTTAATTAAATTAAAAATCAGATATATAACCGATTTATAGTGATTAACAGTCACATTTGCTTTGCTTTGGGTATTGAAGCTTCGACAAGGATTTTTAATTTATTTGTTTTTTTTTTCCATTAAAAATGTATAAATTGAATTTAAAATGACCTCTCCATATACATTTTTATTCAGGATATTTGACACACCATAAAACTCAACATTCATTAAAATTTTCTTTTCAAAGTACAATTAAAACAAAATGCTAAATATTTTAATAGCTCAGATTCTTTAATCTTTAATGTAATGTATATTAAATTTTTTTTTTTTTTTTCAATGTAAATTATTTTCATATTAATTTGTAGGGTCCAAAAAAATATTGCCTTGCTTTGCCTTGCCTCAAAGGTCAATTTCGCTCAGGGACATTAAATTTAATTGTTGACTTCATCAAAATTTCCCTTCCCTAACTTCAGTAAAGATGGTTGAGTGAATAAATTTTTATAAAGAAATGCACATTTATATTACACATTCGAGGGAAAGATAAAAAATACATGAGATTTTTTAATATAATTTGCAATGAAAAAATATAAAAATAAAAAGGAACACTAAAAAGGAAATTACTGAGAGATAAACTTTTCCCATTAATTCCTTTAGATTTCCTTTTTATTTGGATTCACTACTCATTTAATTGCTTATAGTTTCTTATGGCTGGTAATGAATAGATATCACAGTGATATTCTTCAACCTTATTGAATGCAAGAAATAACTAACATTCCTACAATTTAATTGTTTATATAAATTTTGGTTTAACTTTGGACTAATGATGAAAATTTCATAGGATGTCCTCATTGGTACTAATGCAGGCCAGTTATGACCAGTTTTACCTTTGTAATGAAAAATAATTAATATTTCTTATTAATATGTACTTTTAATTGTTGCGGTTAATTAAAATAAGAAATAACTCACCCTCCTCCAATTGCCGCATAATTTATTTAAATGCAAATTCGACGCGTTTAAGATTGTTAATTACAAAATTATTTGTTTGGGGGAAAATATATTCATTAACATCAAAGATACATTCCGAACTTCCTGGGTACTTTAAAAATTACCATAATTAAAATAAAAAACTAGTGATATGAGACTCTCAAATTCTTGTGAAATAGTGTGCCTCAATGTCTTTGAGAAAAGGATCAGTGACTATTAAATATTTATTTTTATTTGATTGTGCAAAAATATGTTATATATAAAAATATTTTTTTTTTGTTTTATTTCAAAAATAATTATTAACAATCAAAAACTCT